CAGTTTTGAGCAGAGTTCAAAGAGAGAGAGAGGTGTAGTGAAGAAACAGGCCAAATTATGGTTGGGTCAGAGTCTGGCTGAAGTGGATGAGGGACACTTTATTACGGGACCATGTAAGAACCAAATTCAGAAAGCTATAAGGATGGTAGTTTGGTGGGTGACTTTTGATGCTAGATTGAGAGCTTGAACTTTTATTCTTATGTGCAGTTATTAAAAACTTATGAGTCTGGCAGCAACCGTAGCTCAGTGGGTAGGGAGCAGCCACATACACTGGGGCTGACGGGTTCAAAACCAGCCCGGGCCAGCTAAAAAAACAACAATGACAACTGCAACAACAACAAAAATAGCCCAGCGTTGTGGTGGACGCCTGTAGTCCCAGCTACTTGGGAGGCTGAGGCAAGAGAATCACTTACGACGCCCAAGAGTTTGAGGTTGCTGTGAGCTGTGACGCCACAACACTCTACCCAGGGCCACAGCTTGAGACTCTGTCTCAAAAAAAAAAAAAGAGAACAATAATTTCTGAGTCAGAGAATGACATCATAAAAGAACACCAGAGGCTGGAGGCAGAGAAACCAGTTAAGAGTCTACTGTGAGCATTTTGAGATAAGGTCCTGCTATGGGAGTGGGTACAGAAGGATGGATTTGAGGGCAACCAGAAAAATCAAGAACACTTGCCATTGATTGGATATGGGCAAAGAGGGAGGAGGAAGGGATGGGTGACTCAAGAGAAGCTTGGTAGGAAGTGTGTTGAGGGGAGGATTTAGAATTAGGTGATAGACTTCAGTGTTTGCAAATGGAGAGAAAAATTTACATATCTATCAGCAGGAGTGTACTCTCAACTGATTACCTTATAAAAACTGTGGAGTTTCTCCATGAGATAGCCAGGCAGAAGATATTACATGATTTAGAATGGCCACGCTAGGCAGCAATTCCCGGCTCACATCGGATGGGAGAGTGGAAACGCACTCTGCTCTAGGGTTACAAACTCTGGGCTGAATCCCAGGGTTTTTGTTTGTTGGGTTGTTGGTTTTGTCATTTCATTGTATGTACTTGGACAACATACTTCAAAACTCATTGGTCTAGTTTTTTCTTCTGTAAAATAGGGCCATAATCTATTCCTTGGGTCTCCATGAGATTTAAATTACAGCCATTATTTGCTCAATAAATAACAGGCTCTGTGTTAAGAATTTTATTTGTATTTTATTTTATTTTTTTTTTACAGTTTTTGGTCAGGGCTGGGTTTGCATCTGCCACCTCTGGCATATGGGGCTGGTGCCCTACTCCTTTGAGCCATAGGTGCCTCCCCTATTTGTATTTTCTTATTAAGTCTTTAGAACTCATATTCTGCATTTAAAGGACTTCCAAAATTTAGTGGCTTAAAACAATGTCCATTTTGCTTGCTCCCAAATCTGCAATCTAGGCTTGCCTTGGCTCTGATGTGTTTGCAGTCAGCTGGTGGGGCTGGCCCGGACTGTGCTCAGCTCATATGCTGGTAGCTGAACTTTTCCCTCTCTCCGAGTACTCCAGGGCCTCTCTTTCTCCATGAGATTTCTCTAGCAGGGTAGTTGGACTTCTTGCCTGGTGGGTAAGTTTCCTAAAAGTGCAAAGATAGAAGCTTCTATACCTTCTTAAGGGATGGAATGGTCACGGGACTGGCACTGCTACATTTCCCATAAGGAAAATCACTGGCCCAGTTCAGATTTAAGTAGAAGGGACTACATAAGAGTGTGAATAACAGGCCGCTAGGCCACTGAAGCCTGTAACAGGCAGACCACCACAATACTATCTCTAATTTGTAAATGAATAAACTGTGACTTAGGGAGACTGAGGTTACTTACCTAAGGTACAGGATAGAACCAGGTACTTCAAAGCTTATGTTGTAAGTCATAGATTAACAGATGCACTTTGTATAATGTTTTAACCTAGACTCTTACTGTGATGTGGGTACTGTTATTGTCCTTAATTTACAAAAGGGGAAACCCAGGAATAGGGAGCTTAAATATCTTACATGAAGTGACTCAATTATTTTGCTCCCGAACTTGTATATTTGTATTTGCCCACTATACTATGCTGCCGTTTTTTGGGAAGTACCTAATATATACAATGTTTAATCTGAAGCTACTATTGGAAGGGCTGGGGTGACAGCACATCTTTTGAATCACTATCCCATCTCATAAGCTGTTTGGGAAATGGGAGTTTTTCCTGTGATCAGGGCAATTTTCTTTCTTTCTTTCTTTCTTTTTTTTTTTTTTTGTTGAGATAGAGACTCACTTTGTCACCCTTGGTAGAGTGCCCTGGCATCACAGCAACCTCAAACTCTTGGGCTTAATTCTCTTGCCTCAGCTTCCCAAGTAGCTGGGACTATAGGCCCCCGCCACAACACCTGGCTATTTTTTATTTTTATTTTTTTGTTATTGTTGTTTAGCAGGCCCTAGCCCCCCCATTTGAACCCAACATCTGGCTATTTTTATTTTTATTTATTTTTTCTGAGGCAGAGTCACATTCTGTTGCCCTTGGTAGAGTGTTATGGCATCACAGCTCACAGCAACCTCCAACTCTTGGGCTGAAGTGGTTCTCTTGACTCAGCCTCTCGAGTAGCTGGGACTACAGGCACCGGCCACAATACCTGGCTATTTTTTGTTGCAGCTGCCACTGCTGTTATAGCTGGCCGGGGCCGGTTCAAACCTTCCATCCTGGGTATATGGGGCTGGAGTCCTACGCACTGAGCCACAGGCGCTGCCCCACCCGGCTATTTTTAGAGACAGGGTCTAGCTCTTACTCAGGCTGGTCTCCAACTCCTGAGCTCAGAATCCACCTGCCTCAGCCTCCCAGAATGCAGGTGTGAGCCTCCAAGACTGGCTTACTCTCTACTTCTTGATGCTTGGAAAGGAATGACCATCTAATACCAACCCGGAATCTCACTGCTCATCCAATTCTAACCCCTATTTTCACCTTTCTTCTGTCTGAGAACCTTCCTGGAGTTGAGCTGGCTGCAAGTTTCCAGGCTTTATTCATCAAATCAGCCTTGTGGTTTCTGAATTAGTACCATTTGTTCCTAGTTACTTCCTCTAGTTTTATAGCTCATTTCCCCAGTGTTACAATTGTGGTGGCTTCTGAGGATTGCTTATAAAGATTCTACTTCCTATGGAGTGACCTGTGGTGGCTTCTCTCCTTCCTCTGCCACTCCTGTAGGCAGAGGACTTGCTGCAGAAAGCACCTGATTCCTAAGGCTCCTGAAGGAAGCCATGCTCTGCTTACCGGTGAAGGTGATTCCTATGCCTGTCTTTGTCTAAGGCAGTCCTGACTTTTCTAGTCTGTGAGGAATATTAGGGGGGGTAATTTTGGTGGGTTCTGCTCTCTTTTGGGCATGGATGTAGCCATTCAGGGGCTTGCCCCCAAATTTTCCCACCTTTTCCAAGGTGAAAATATAGGGTGACCTTATCCTTTTCTTGGATTTTTCTCCTTTAAGGCAACTTCAGATTTTAACTGTGACTTTATTTCACTCTTACAAAAATGTTAAAGCACACCCAGATATGGTAGCTCACACCTGTAATCACTCTGGGAGGCCAAGGCCAGTGGATTGCTGGAACTCAGGAGTTCCAGACCAACCTGAGCGACAGTGAGACGGGTTGGGTATCGTGGTGGGCCCCTCTAGTCCCAGCCATTCCAGAGGCTGAGGCAAGAGGATTGCTTGAACCCAAGAGTTTGAGGAGATTGCTGTGAGCTCTACCCAGGGTGACAGAGTGAGACTCCGTCAAAAAAAAAAAAAAAAGAAAGAAAGAAAAGAAAGAAAGAACAGTTAAATCGCAGTAATTTAATACAATTTTATTTAACAAACACATAGCCGGCTCAGTGCTGTGCGAAGTGCTTTACATACATTGCTTCATTTAATTTATTCTATAAACTTCTTTTTGAATCAAGAGGGGTGGGGTAGGGGTTTCCTGGAACACGGCTTACCTAGCCACCCTCCCCTCCCCCTTCCCCAGGGAACAAGGGAAAAGGAACTGAGCTGCCCTCAAGGACAAGGCCTCCTCCTACTTCCCGCAGCTGTCTTTGCAGGCTTGACCTTCTCTCCTTAGCTAGAGGCAGGGGGTCTCCACCCCTCGCCCAAATCCAGGAGGTGGGAGGGTGGGTGGCTTTTTCCGGGTCATTGGCTTACTCTCTCTACTCCCAGCCACCTGTTCGGGTTCCATCGCCGCTCTAGGCTCCCTGGAGGGCGGCAGGGACATTCCAATCCTCCCACTACTCGCGCTATGTAGCTTTGGAGGGGGGCCGCAATTACTCTCTTCCAGCCCCTAGCTTTGACCCGGTTTCTTCTCACTCACTCCCTACTGGCCTGAGTAACCCCGAAGAGGAAACTAGGATTTGATGAATGGTTTGTAGTTGTTTACCACCCACCGCTGGCGAAGACGCATCTCCAGCGACAGAATGCACTTTCTGGGTACCGTCTGCGCTCTAGCAGATAATTGAAAGCCAAGCAATCAAGAAGCCTCTTTCTCCAGACCAAATATGGTCACAAGCGTTAAGCAGCCTCCAGTGGAAAGGCTGGCCTTGGTGTCTTCCCGCGCCGGGGCGCACTCAGGCCCGCCCTCGGGCAGAATCGCAGGTCACTGCAGCGCTACGGGTGCAACACACCTCGGCGCCCCACTGGAGGGGAGGGCGCGGCACCCAGGACTGGCCCTAACTCGGCCTGGGCCCCTCACCCACGTGCCCTCCGCCACCCCCAGCCTTGGTTTCGGTCCACAACCCTTTGATTAAACAGGCTCTGGCCACTTTCCCTTTGATCCCGCCCCAAGTCCATGGTAAACTCAAAGGAATGCAGATCCAGGACTCTGAGGGAGAGGTCCGCGAGATCGAGAGGAGAGGGTGAGGGGCACCCGTCTCCTCTTACCCTGTAAAGTACCCATCACGCCCAGGGTTTTCTGGAGCTGGGGTGGGAGGAGGAAGAGGAGGGGCAAGCGGGGGCAGGCCGGCTCAGGACTTGGAGGTCATGCATAATTCAACAGCTCAACTTTCGGACCCGCCTCTTTCCTGGGGGTGGGAGTTTGCTCCAAACTTTGTTTATGGGACAGTCCGGGAGCTGCCGCTGCCGCGCTGTCTGCTTTTCCTACGCCTCCTCCTGGGAGAGCGCGAGTGCCTGAGGCCAGCTCGGGGGATGTGAGAGTCGAAGTCCCTGGGCTGCCAGACGCCAAGTCAGGTTGGGATTTGCCAGCCGGGCCCCGACCCCGGCTCCAGCTCTGCCAGCTCCCGACGCACCCGAGCGACCCAGGCCCGACGGCGAGTTCGGGTGGAACAGCGGCCGCGGCGCGCTCAGGCTTGGCTTCGCTGCGCGGCCAGGTAGTGCCCTCCGGAGCGCGCCGCTCACCCGGCACCGCTCCGGAGCTCTGGGCTCTGCGGGCTTCCGGAGTCGGGGTGTCGTGGGGTCGGTTGGGGTTAAGACTTATTTGGGAATGGGGCGGGGGCCTGCCTGCCCTGGAAAGCTACGACCTGTCCTTTGCGGTCTTGCGGTTCAGCGAGGTCCCGAGCGCAGTTACTCCCCCCCCCACCCCCCGCCTCTCTTCCTTCCCCTCCTCCTGGCAACTTCTTAGCTTGAAGAAAGTTGCATAATTCTCGAGGACAGGAGGAGGGACCCCTCCCCCATCGGGCTGGTTTTACTACCGAGTGTCTGGGATCCCGAGGCGGACACCTATGTATTTCAACTTTTACTTTTTTCTCAATTTTTACCCCAACCGTCCCACCCTTCTTCTACAACTTAAAAAAAAAAAAAAGGCTGCTCTGACCTCCTTCTCCTTTGCAGAAGATGAATCCAGCTTCGGCGCCCCCTCCGCTCCCGCCGCCCGGGCAGCAGGTGATCCACGTCACGCAGGACCTTGACACGGACCTGGAAGCTCTCTTCAACTCGGTCATGAATCCTAAGCCTAGCTCGTGGCGGAAGAAGATCCTGCCCGAGTCCTTCTTCAAGGAGCCCGATTCCGGCTCGCACTCGCGCCAGTCGAGCACCGACTCGTCGGGCGGCCACCCGGGGCCTCGGCTGGCCGGCGGCGCCCAGCACGTCCGCTCGCACTCGTCCCCCGCGTCCCTGCAGCTGGGCACCGGCACGGGCGCCGCGAGTAGCGCCGCGCAGCAGCACGCACACCTCCGCCAGCAGTCCTACGACGTGACCGACGAGCTGCCGTTGCCCCCAGGCTGGGAGATGACCTTCACGGCCACTGGCCAGAGGTACTTCCTCAAGTAAGTCCGCCTGGAGCCGAGGGGGCACAGAGTCGAGATGCCGCGCGCGCGCGCGCGCGCGTTCGTGTACGTGTGAGAGACAGAGCGCGTGCGCGAAAGCGTGTCCTTTCCACGGTTCAAAGCTAGGGAAAGATGGATGGAAGTGAGTCTCTGGGTGTTGGAATTATAAGGGATCGAAAGCAGAGACGCGTGAGGTGCGGTTCATCAGGGTCCTACAAGTCCTCAGATTCAGGACGTGTAAACTCCTAGATGTAGGGGGAAGAGAAGTAAAGTTTTGGGGGGGATTCCTGTGAAACACACAGATGACTTTGTGTGTGGCTTTGTTGTGAATCTGGAGATTTGAAACAGATTCCTGGACACAGACCCTGAGCCCCTTTCCTGATCACTCTAAGTCAGACATCCCTGAGGCAGATCCTTGGGACATTATTCCATCAAGGTAAATGAAAGAAAGGTTGTGAGGCCTGGGGAAAAGGGGCACTCTTGGTTGAGCAGGTGGTGGGCTGTCTGTTTTCTTCTAGGGAAGAGCAAGTGCGAGGTGAACAGAGCCTGGTAGGCCTTACTGCTCCCAGCTCGGTGACATAATGACCACACAACACAATGATGTAATTAGCAGCCGTGCGGAGAAGTAGTTGTGGCCTGGACAGATCAACTGTGTGGAAATTGGGTCAGGAGTTTTATGATGTTGAACTCGGTAACCTAAAATATCATGGAATCAGAAGCCTGCTTTGCGACTCTTCTTCCTTTCACGTTCCAGCTTTTCAGTGTTACAACTTTCATATTTGCTTCATATTTTGGAATTAACCCCACAGGAAAGTAAATTCTGAAATGCTACAGGAGATTGTTTCAGTTGTGGTACATACCTAAGATAATTGCATGGCTGGGGAGACACCAAGTTGGAGCTTGAAATCTATCAGTGAGTTCACAGGGGTTTAGGCTACTAAGGGCCTAATGGTGCTAGGCAGACCTCTTGGTTTGGGATTGCCTACGCTTGGCTGCCAATGGGGGAAGCGATTGTTATATAAGAACTTGCTTTAAAGTGAGTTCACTTTAAAGTCCATATTTCTTTGGTAGAGTAGCCTTAATTTAAAAGTTATGGTAAGGACTTACATGTCATATAAAAAATGTAATCAAACCTTTCTTTGACTAATATAGTAACTACTACTTTGATTGCTATGAGAGGGCCCGAAGAATGAATACAGTGATGGATGACGTTTATTATAGTCAACACTTTGATTCATACCAGTGACCAGTTCCTATTCTTTCCCCATCCCAAAGCTGTTGACATCTTATGCAAGGAGGAGTTCTTTCTTTGTTTCTGGAGTTTGTGCAATGCTGAGATTCTGAAACAGACTTAATGGTCACTTATTTTACTGCTGGCGTTATGTGGGTTGCTGAGTGATAGTATGGACATACGCTGTGTGCTTTGACATCTGAGTGACTGGTGGTAGTCAAGGACATGTAATGACATGACGTTTCCTAAAAGTGATGATACTGTTTCAAAGGATGACAGGTTTCTATAGTACATACTGGTCTGAAATAGCATCATCTATTAATTTTCTTAGGTAAATGTAGTTTTTTATTGTGACTTTTATCGAAATAGGTCAACAGAAAGAGAATTAATACTTTTGTAGTCATTTGGGGGGTCCTTTTGGTCCCAAAGTATTTCTAAACCGTGTTTATGAATATATACTTTAACATGCATGGTGTGCATTTAGCAGTTATGTGATTATTAAAAACATGAAATAAGAGCTGGGCTTGCCTCATTTCTGAGGAAAGCTAGATGAAAAAGACCCTAAAACAAAAACATTTCTTTTATACCTGTGTTTTGAATAATTGTAGCTCAGAACTGGCTATGAAGGAGGGCAAAAATGAAAGCTAGCCTTGGGTTTAGAGAAGTTGCTGTGGCCCATCTCTGCCCGTCCCCCTCAAATCTTAACCACTCTCCAATTCACAGCAAAGTGCATCTTCATTTCACTGTGGATAGTCAGTGAACACAACAGCTGACAAAATGTGTACATAGTATGGCCTGGTCTGATATTGTCCCTGGAAATGTTTTTGCCAAATGAGTAAGAGAATTTAGGAAATTGAGTCATTGTGACTATTGTCTTTCAGAATAAGCAATCTGTCAACAGTTTGCTGAGCTTTTTTTTTTTTTTCTGAGACGGAGTCTAACTCTGTCACCTTGGGTAGAGTGCCATAGCTTCATAGCTCACAGCAACCTAAAACTCCTGGGTTTGAAAGATCCTCTTGCC